CAGCCGTCACCCAGGCCGGTACGGAGAAGGAGGGAACGCCGGGCAAGAGAGAGCAATGTTCAGCCGCCGCGAAGAAAAGGCAAGCCCCCGCTCCTCGTGGTTGCGCCCGTGCTTACGAGATCATGCCCATCTGTTGTTCTTTCACTTGTTTACCTGAATGTTAACGGAGTCGGACATAATGACTTCTGGAAAGAAAAAAAAAAAGTTATATTTAAAAAAAATAAAAAAGAAACAAAGCAAAACGTCTTGTTGGTGGGTTTTTAATGATGCGTTGTCAGATCTTGTTTCTTTCTACCACGTATGGATTTCTGCCGCGTCTTCCAAGGGAACAGGCTCATCTTGTTCTTGTGTTCAAGCAAACTTGGGGCTGCAGGGAATGCAGTCCTTAGCTGACCCTTTAGGTGGTTTCCCGTGAATGCGATGCTCTTCGCTCTGTGCCTTAAAACAGCTGGATTGTGGTGCTGTGGTGTTGTTCCAGATGGGGATGAAATTATTGCTGCCTCTCGAGCTGGGATTAAGCTGATGTGAGTCGCTGTGGGACTCAGGCTGGCATTCAGCAAACGAACCGGCAAAGCACAGCGAGTATTTGGCACTCGGGGCGTGTGCCTTGGGATCTCAAACCTCCGCTGGCTTAAATGCGTTGTCTCTTCTTGCACCTCAGGGCTGAAGCGCTCAGGACAGATGAGTTGTAGGTGATGCTTGAGCTGAGGTGCTGGGAGAGGACTGGGTAAACCAGGCCCCTTTAACATACTGTTAAGTGAAAACGTGGGTTATTCTTGGAAAACAGCGGTCCTGCTCTGTCAGAGCATGTGAGGCCGCAGGGATAAAGCACCATGAGGGGAAGGGGTGGGCAGAACGCCTGCAGCCGCTTGTTCTCACGTTGTGCCAACAGCCCTGGCTTAGACTTCTCTTAAACTTTTTTCTCCAGGGGTCTGCAGGACTCGGAAAGGTCACTGGAGACCTTACTGCAGACTTGTGATTCCTGGGGATTGTAGAACTGCAGAACTATAGGAGGGCCTGGGTTGGAAGGGACCTCAGAGACCATCTAATCCAACCCCTCTGCCATGGGCAGGGACGCCTCTCAGCTAGACCAAGTTGCTCAAGGATGTCACTGTAGAATTATTGTATTTTTTTATGTGAGACAAGAATACAGACATGAATTTTTCTAAGCTAGACCACGCTGGGATTTTTTTTTTCCAGTGGTGTTCCTTTCCTTCTCCCTCCCACACTGTTTTCTTGACTGTTTCTAACAGTTTTGGAGGTATTTTTTGCCCTGGCAAGCTCTATTCCATAAG